TGGTGGTGGTGAGTGTGTGTGTGTGTGTGTGTGTGTGGTGGGGACGGATCCAGAGGGGAGATAATAAGGAGTGGCACCCAGGAAACAGCAGCCAGCAGAGACAAGTGAAGATTTGCAAATATAAAATACCATCCCAAATTTGCTTCCTTTTCCATTCTATAGTAAACACAAAGGAATGCAAATGGAAGCTTGGTCTTCTCAGAGCCCCTGTGAAGCACATCCATTCTCAGGCCCAGGCTCCCACCTCCGTTGTGGAAGATAGGAATAAAGAGGCATAAACTGAAACCCCTGCATTGTTTGGGAAAGGAGCCAAAGGAACATTGTGGTTTGGAGTCCTGTTGCTCCCCTCCCTGGGGTCTTCCTGTGCTCAGCCTGTGACCCCTCCTCCCTCCAGCCTCTGAGCAGCGATGGGTGACCTTTTTCACAGACTGGGTCCTTCTCTATTGATCGGTTTAAAAAAACTAATGGGCAGTGATAATCATTCTCAAGTCTCTTTTGTGTGGTGGCTTAGTCATATGACTTCTTAACCTTTGCGTGTTTGTATATATTTCCATTCTGGTTACAAAGTTATACCAACTTATTGTGTCTTCTAAATTTTCCTTTTTGCCGTTTGAGTCTATATATATTTCTTTGATGAGCATATCTTAGCCTGAAAGCCTCTGATCTTTGCCGCAGGAAAGTACTACCAGGCCGAGTATCTGTCAGCAGACTTTGGATTGCTGGATGTTTCAGCAGTTGCCGTCAAATGTAGGAATGAGGTTGCAGGTTTGATGAAGTGCTTATGAGTGGCGGCTTTAGGGAAATCAACCTCTGTATTTTCAATATGGAATTCCACATTACTACGTATTAACACACCTGTCTCCTGCCTTTTTTGTTTCAGTACCTACTTGAAATGAAAAGCTTAATCCTTCCCCCAGAACATATCCTGAAGAGAGGGGACAGTGAAGCGATAGCGTATGCGTTCTTTCATCTGGCGCACTGGAAGAGGGTGGAAGGGGCCCTGAACCTTCTGCACTGTACGTGGGAAGGCAGTAAGTAATTTTCTTTCTCTGAAAAAAATTTTTTTTGAAAGCATGAAAAGGTACTAACACTGTTTTCGCCCTGAGTGCTCATGATGAATAGCGAAGATTTGCATATCTGTGGTTCTTCTTTTCTGTGATATTCCACCACCAAGAGGTGGTTACTTACTTAGGCTCTCCAGTTGCCCAGTGGTGGTGGGTGTTCAGGTGGTGAGGCCATCTCTGCAGCTCACAAAAGCAAGTTTATACAGTGGGTGGGATGAGTCTGGACTGTTTTGGCAGAGGAGCACGCTACACCTGGAAAACCCTCTCTAGAGATCTGGGGAGACACTCGGCCTCTCAGTGGAGGGTTAGGCCTGGTGCTGGGCTCTGATTACCACTTTTGGATGGCCTTTCTGAGAGGGCTGGCTAAAGAGCCACCACAGTCATCCTCCAGGGTAGCTAGGCTGGCCAAACACAAGTGACCAGCAGTTATGACCAGCAGAACAAGAGCAGTGGCCATGGGACCTTAGAGTTTGGTGGCAGGGGTAGCATTTGTGTGTTTAATGGATAATGCCTGTTAGAGGGATGTAGGGAGAAATGGCTCTGAGGACATGCTAGACCCCATCATTCTGTGGAGGGAGAAGAGTCTCTACTGGTGGGTGAGACATTCCCCCTGCCCTGGAGAAGCATCTCATCCTGTCGGGAGGAGTAACCAGCAGGATGGAGCAGCTGCCCAGTGATTTTCAGAAGGGAGAGGCCTATGGGGTGGAGCAGACCTGGGTAACCTTATGGATCATGTGAGATTTGAACCAAGTCCTGAAGAACTAGGGCAGTGTTATAGGCAAGGACACTGTATGAAGAAGTGCTTAGTGATAGGGCTGTTTGGGAGAATGTAAATTAAGAAAAAAAGCTCAACACTGGATTATTGGACAACATATGTGTTGACACTTATCATTATTTTAAGCAAAACAAGTGCAACATGTAGCATGGGGGTTTTCCCCTCTCGTGGGGAAAGCAAATATTAGAGTCTTCTGATAATTTTTTCTTAGTTCACTCCTACTCTGCTCAGCCTCACAAACAAATGTCTTTTTAATCCCTTTGACTGTTTATCTTGTTCCTTCTGTGTTCATTTTGCTAATCTCTGCTCTTCCCTTTTCCTGCCCTCCCCTAACCCAGCAGGAATCCAAACTAGTGCAGGAAGGGAGGCGGGGGCAGCCAAGTGGGATGGGGTAAAAGTAACTTGACAGAGATGGGACTCAAGTCGATTGAAAGTTTTTTGTTTGGTTGTCCTGGAAATATTTCTTTAGAGAATTGATAGTGGGTCTTGTTAAATAATTTACTGTTTATAACTTGAGGGACATTGACTTGATCGATGTTTCCACCTCGACTCTCTAAGTGTAATAACGGACTCCAGGTGTCCTGGTCCTGGTTTTGGATATGTTAAGACAGCACACTCTGCTCAGGGCATATGTAGACATGTGTACAATCCTCTCTGGCTTGGGCCAGAGGTGTTCTATCCAGACGAGACAAAAGGAATTTTTATTTAAATATGAGAAAAAGACAAAAAAAACCCAGCAAGATTGAATATGAGAGGGCACACCTAGTGTTAGCTGTGGTAAAATTAAATGGTCAAATTAGCTTAGCAAATAAAAACATATTTATAGATTGGTATTTTGGAGACATAATAATAGTAGTTTATTGACTGGATCTAATTGACAAGAAAGTTACCAGTCCTCTAGAAAGAATCAAAAGAGGGGTGGGCCAGGAGGTGGTAGAGACGTAGTGTGAGGAATGGCGTAACCATAAAAAAAGAAATCTCATGAGGAATAACTGGAAATTCTGTTTGGAAATTAGTTATCCACTTAATCTGGTAACAGAGATGCTCTGGAACAGCTGGTAAGGACAATGAGATTGTGAGAAATGTGAAGTAACATAGTGAGACCCCAGATCAAGCAGCGTAGTGCTGCTGGGGGAATGTAGTTACCGCCAGTCAGATGGGCGGAATTCTTTATTAGAATAAAGAAGAGGTGGGGTTTTAGACATAAAGCAGTGTGGCAAGGCAGTCAGGGGCCTATAGAAGAGGGAAATTCTCTATTTGATCCTTATAGATAATTAAGAACCAATCCAGGAAGTTACACTGCTGTTCAGTTTTCAGAGCCACACCATTCAATTTCAGAACCGTGCTTACCAGCCACCTTGCCGGATCCCAAGAACCTTGACGAGTGTTTGTATAACAGGGTAATTCTCAGAGGTCTTGCATTTCCTTCATTTCGTGTACTCCTGATAACGTTCTGAGTTAGGCAGGACAGAGGCAGCAACCTTAGTTGTTCAAAAGAGGAACGGATTCATTAGATGAGTAACTTGTTGCATGTCCTGCAGGCACTGTTGGTAGAGCCAGGATGTAAACCTAAGTTTACTCTTTCTTCACTGTTCTTTTCTGTAATACCAGAGATTTAGGCCTTTCCTGAATGGATTAAGAATAAGAGGATCAGGCATCTCTGAAACACTTGCTTAGAGCCCTCCGTTTACATCACTACTGGCTGGAATATGTCTATGCCCTTTCTAGTGTTTAGAGAGTTAACCATTTTATGTAAAATTATATTTTTGTTGTTAAATATTGACCTAAATATTTTAAACATAGAATGAGCCCAAATTTATTTGAAAAATGAATTCTATATATAAACAAAGGAGACTGGAAGTAAATACATCTTTAAGTAGATTTTAAGTGATTTCTTTTTCTTTCATATTTGTATTTTTCAAATTTTCTATAACAAGCATATATATTTTCTACAAGCATAAATAGTATGTATGTATATGTGTGTATGCCTGTGTTTAGAAAAGTAATCTTTCATTACAAAGAGTTTTGGTCCTTTTTTAAAAACCAAAGCTGTAAATCTGTCGTGCAAGTTAGAAGAAAGAATTATCACTCCAACTTCAGACAATTGCATGCAGTAGGTTGACATGACTTCTAGATCTGTGTCCATTCTAGGTTAAAAGGGCCTTAGAGCTCTGGATTTTAAATTGAAAGGCTAGGATTAGAATTCTGACTCAGGTGCCTGCAGTGGTATTGATTTACCCACTTTTTGAAAACTGTGAAGCGATATTGAATGCCATCACCCCACCTGGTCGGTGGGCTCCAGGGCAGTTGTCTTAAGGACAGCTACATGATCCTTGTCCCTGTCTAAGGTCAGCTGGCCTCCCCTAGACAGCCTGTGCCCGAATACAGGAGGCTGCACTTCCTCCAGTGCACCACTGGGTGGCGCCTTTTGACATCTCCAGCCTCAAAGTCTTAGCTTTCTCCTTTAAATCATTTTTTAATTCATTCTGATATTTAGGCCATTTCCCAACTCCCTTCCAATTTCCGCTTTTCATTAGAAAGGGAATTCACGTAGGACGTTAACAGCCCCTAATTTCACCAGTTTCCATGTTAAAAGTGATTATTCTTTTTTAAAAGTCAATTTATCTTTTAGAAATCAAAAAAAAAATCCTTACTCCTATCAAGTATTGGTTAGGGGTGGGGATGGAGGTATATCTTTCTTGATTTTTAATGAGTTTATTATGTTGGAGCATTAGTCATCCAGTTGAATTAAGTGAGTTTCCCACCAGTCAGGCTGAAATAACACATTTTTGATAAAATCCCAAAGTCCAGCTGATGCATGGCAGAGATTGTTTGGGTTTGAAACATATGGTGGTTTAAAAAAAAATGCTGAATCCTCAACCACAAATACATCAGCATTTCAAAGGTTTGTAAAATGTTTGATTCATCACTGTCCCAGTCCCTGAAATTACACAATATGTTCCTCAAAGTCAAGATAATCAAGAAAGGGGATAAGTTTTAATTTACAAGATTTAAAAATATATTTCTTAGTTTATTACACAGCTGCCACCTTATCTGAATTATACTTATTTTAAACACTGTAGGTTCTGGTTATCCTCACACACGTGCACACACATGACTGTAAGCATGAGTTGAATATAAAAACATATATGAATGAGGGCTCTCGATTGAACTGTGTCTTATTTACAATGGTATTGTGCCTTATGGGGCCCTATTTTAAATGGCACATCTGTTTTACCTGTGTTAAATACTGATGTGGCCATGTCTTCCTCCTATGTTGATCTTTTCAAGGCTATGTTTTTGCTGTATTTATTTTTCCTAAAACAGGGTAGTCTGCTGACCACAACTGTGAACTTTAAGATTGAATTTTCAGGTCCTATGTATCAGGAGACTGGATTGCCATGGGGTAAATCACTTAGCTTTTCTTTGTTTCCATTTTTTCCACTTGATCAAGGAAGATTATTTTCTTTTTGGAGATTTTTTTTTCTCAAAGAATTCACTAAATAATGTATAAGATTTGAAGGTGGTGGTTTTTAGGTGGATGAAGGCAGAGTATTCCCTTTGAGAGGAGAAAATGGTCCATTGTTGAAGCAGAGGATGAGACTCTGATTCTCGTTTATTCTCTTTGAACCTGATGGTGAATGCTGCTTGCTGTAAGATGTGGTTCTTAGGGCATTTCCTCTAACCGAACCTTTCTTCCAAAAGCCTGGCACCTTTGGGACTGCTAAAGAGAGATTCTCCTACCCCTCACCCCATGGATCTAGGGCTAAATTTTATAATTTGGGAGAAGGCAATGATCGCTAACATCCCTGGCCAGAGCCAACTCCCACTAATCCCCAGTCCCCACGTCCTGCCCAATAGAACCAGCTTGCTCCTTTCTGTTACTCAGTTTTGAGTAACTGACCATAATTTGGATCCACTAGTGTTTTTAAAGGAAAATTCTGTCTCTTCCCAATTGTGTATTAATTGATTCCTTCCTTTATTCAATGAACATTTATTGAGTCCCTCCTTTGTGCCAGCATTCTTTGGGGGAATAACAAGATGAGTAAGACTCAGACATGTTTTGAGAGAAATACCAATGTGTGTGTGTGTGTGTGTACACAGATATCTGTATACTCACATATACAGACACAGATATGTACAGTATATAGTGTGGACACAAGCAGTGCTCTCTTGGAAGTGGGAACAGAGTGTTGGAGTGTTGAGGGTCACTGACAAGCTAGTGAATCTGCTCTGAAACTCTGACATTCTTCAGCATTGAAATGGAACTTCATGTAGTCTAACCAAAGGAAAGTGGTTTTCCCAAGGCCATGTAACTGGAAATTGAAAGAATGTGCATAAGAACCCAGGCTTTTGACTTTTTGAGTTCTCTTTATTGTTGTGCCCAAAGCCTCACAGCAGACAAAGAGCCTTTATGGCTGGTGACCTGCATTGCAGTCAAAAGTGGTAACAGTAAAATTTGTATTTTGATGATAATTTTCTGTTCTATCATTTGCACTTCGTATTATTTGCAGACAAGCAGCATCTTTAGTTATGAGCTAAGGCATGACTTGATGGAGAAAGGAGGAAGTTTGGGTTAGTGGGAAGCAAAAGTAAAGAGAAAACTAACTTCCACTGAGCAGTCAGACACTGTGTTTAGACATGGTGACCTCTGCTGTCACCCTCAGTCCCTTTAACAGCCTCTTGAGGTCCTTGGTATTCTCATTTTTCTGGACAAAGAGACTGGACACAGATTAATGACCCACCCAAAGTCATACAGTTGTTAGCTAGGTCAGGTTTGACCCTTCCTCAGCTGTCACCTCTGCCACTCCCCCATTAGGTACATGCTATTGTGGGGGCAACTTTCACTCTTGCTTTCACGATTACTGGATCAGCTGTTTCCCGCCCCAGACTGTCAACTCCATCAGTGCAGCAACACGTTTCTATCCCTGCTGCATGAGGGATTCAAACTCAGTTCTTGTTGTCACAAGCAATCTATATATAGTTCTCAGAGATCTTCTTTGAAAAGACAACAAGACAAACAAAATAACAAACATTACCTTCTGTCCTTGTCTGTACTGTGGATAGGATGAGAGGTCACTAGGAATCATTGGGAAAATCAGGAATTGAATGGTTCACGTATCCATCCTTCAGTTCTGTTAACTTTTTCTCCAGTAATGGTAGAGTCTCTGATGGGCACAGCACTGATGGGCTTGGGGCGTAGAGGACGTCACAAAAGGAACATACAAAAATGCCATCTGTGTAGAAACAGACTCACAGACATAGAAAACAACTTAGAGTTACTAAAGGGGAAAAGGGGAGGAGGGATAAATTAGAAGTTTGGATTAACATGTACACTACTATATATAGAACATATAAACAACAAGGACCTACTGTACAACACAGGGAACTATATTCAACATCTTGTAATAAACTATAATGGGAAGGAGTCTAAAAAAGAATAGATAGATTTGTGACTGCATCCCTTTGCTGTACACCTGAGACTAACATAACACTGTAAATAAACTACACTTCAATTTTTAAAACTGCCATTTGTGTTCTGTGTATTAACTGAGTGGCCCAGCTTGTTTTGTTTTGTTTTGTTTTTAGCAAAACAAAAAATATATATGTGTACAATTTGAATTCCTCTGAAATGTATGTTTTTTCGGACAAAGAGTTTTAGGCGGTTTCTAGTCACTCATGAAGTAGATCAATTTCATAAAATAAATCAAATGACATTTTTTCCATTCTTTCTTGGCCTGCTAAATCAGTGTGTTATTATTTGCACTTGTGAAAGTTCTGAACGTTCGTCTAAAGCCACGAGGTTCTTGGGGAGCAGTTGCAAGTCTTTGCAGTGGAAGAGGCAGGAGGTGGGAGGCTAGGCTGGTGAGGCCAGGGCAGTGCCACTTCCCGCTCTCCCCAGACCTCCACCTTTATTCACACGCTGCTGGACCCCGCACAGCAGGGCGGGTAAAGGATAGAATTGCAAACAGAAATTGTGTTTGCTTTTGTTTAGTGAAGCCGAAAGCCTTAATATTATTTTATGAACTCGATGTAAATGACAACTGACATGAGAAAGAGAGACATTTTAAGAGCACATAAGCGTATTTACAGTCACGGGGGCTGGGGGAGAGGACAGTGCAGGAAGTGTGTATCTCTTTGTATGTGTATTGTTTCTGAAATCGTGTGTAATCAGTGTCTTCACCTTCTCCTAAAAGACCACATTGCAAGAGGAAAGATGCACTTAATGCGCAGAATTCTGTATGCATGCCAGTTACTGGAGTGAAAAACATTTGGCATTTGACTGAAAAGACACTAACCAACCATTTGATTTCTATGGTTGAACACTCTCAAGAATTTGCACTCCTATATTTCATTTAAAAAATTGCTCCCTGAAGTGCAAACTGACTTCAATTTTGAATAAAATTTTGCATTCAGATTTGTAGCTCCTTTGAAAACTGAGGGTTTATTTCTATCGTACGAACCTGAACAGATTCTTAAGTACAGCAGCCCTGTTGCACATGGAGAATCTGGATTTAAAAAAAAAACAAAACAGAAAAACTTCCACATAGGTTTTTCTACATTTTTGGGATGCTTTCATAGCAGCCATCATTTATGGGAAATGGTATTAAAATCTTGCCGTATTGCAGTTTAAATTTAAATGCACTGCTTCCCAGAAAAGAGTTTAGTATATCCTATAAAGGCACTAAGTGGGGTTTTGTTTTTGTTTTTTGGTTTTTGGTTTTGTAATTTTTTCCCTTCTCCTCCAATCCTAGTTCTGCTGGGAGAGATACTGGTTCCTTTGAGTGATCTTTGTGTGTTAACAACCTGAGCAGGGATCTCCTCTCTTGCTCGTTGTAATGGGCAAAAGTCATCTTGGTTTGCATGAACGGAGAGGTCTGATTAAACTAGGGTGAGCCTTTCATTTTGAGAAGAGTTAAAGTCTGGAGTGTTTTTAATGTTTTAATCTCTGTTTAAGAGGTTTCTGTTATGAGAGGAAAATTGATAACATTTTTACCTCAGCCAACTGCCAGCAGACTGGCTCTGCTCTAATCCCACGTTTATAGTGATTTATATTCTCCGTGGCAATGTGCTGTAACCTCAGAGTGATACCACTGTGGTGTAGATTGACTGCATTCCAAATGCTGGAATCACATACATAATGTTTTTACTTTTAAATAATATTCAGACACCAGAATAAATACCATATGTGCACTGATGCTGGTTACAATGGAACCTTGTCATTTCTCGTGAGGGAGAACATTCTTTGTTTCTGATTCCTGTTTGAAATAAGTATGCAAAAGATAAATATGTACACTGACAGAGTTTTGAGAAGGCTTAGGTAATTACACAGCTGAGGATGTAGCTACGAGCCCTTGAAACATCGCATTTAGGACCAAAAAGATTGCTGTGCTGCCGCCACCGCTCTTTGACATACATGAAGGCAAGGATCGTAATCCGACATTCCCAGTGTAGGGTGTAGTTTTTATGTTTTATATCTACAGCATGCTGTAGTTACTGGACATCTGTTGAAGAAAAATTACCTCCTTGAGTACTGTTCATAGGAACAGTGAGACTAACATGCTGATGACATTGTAACAGGGAGAGTAACACACGTGCTAATGGGAATGGATGGATTGATTGGAAAGCCATAATTCAGTGTGAGACCTAATGTTATCTGATGCCACAAAAGCAGAATTTAGGTGGCCTGACATCATCAAAGTACAGATAATCAATCTCTCCAGATCCACTTTTTTCCCCACATGATATTGAAGATTTAAAAGTTTCATAAAGTTTAGAACTACCTCCCAAGTCATGCATTTTTAGATTTTTGTTTTTATCCCTCTTGGTTGGAATTCTCATCCACCTGGACATATTTTTTAAATAGACGTGGTAGAATGCCTTTCATATTTGTGCATCTGTAACACGCTCCAGCAAGTCAGCCCACATTTGCTTCTTGGGGAAGCATTTCAATCCAGGCTTGCGTTATTACCATCAGTTGAGCTATATTGAATTAGTGTTTATGACATTTTAGTAATATTTTGTAGATGAGGAAACCCTGGGCATTGAAATTGATGGCTTTCCCGACTCCTCTGCACCCCCGTCCCCACCCAGTTTTGTGAGGTTTGTCCAGAATATATAGCGTGAGGTTCATGTGTGAGTCATACATCATAATACATCTCTGACAGTTTATCTGGCACATGACTCAGAGTTTGGGTAAGTCTTGCATCCTTTTTCGGAGTTGTTTGTAGAAGTGTTCACCATTATAAAAATGCTCAAAAGTCCCTTTTTGAAGTTGAGAAGTTATGAGACCGATATTGACTCTCTAACATGTTGTTCCTCCTTTTCAGCTTTTCGGATGATCCCCTATCCCTTGGAAAAGGGGCATCTATTTTACCCTTACCCAATCTGTACGGAAACAGCAGACCGTGAGCTGCTTCCATGTAAGTCTCCCCTCCATGTTCCTCTCTTCGGCCAGTGAGGGCGGTGCACCTGAAGGGGGATGGGAAGCGGTGGGAGTGATCAGTGTTTACAATATTCCTTGTCTCTTAGTACTCTTCTCCCAAACCCTGTCCTCATTTGATAGCATATGCATTAAAGTGAGTTATGTCTTTAGGTTTGGTTCCTTCCTCCTCCATGTCTCTCGAGATTTATTAAAGGGAAAGACTGAAATTCAGGTGAAGAGGCATCATGAGCTGGTTGGTCTGGACAGAGAGACTCCTAGTTTGGGGCAGATGCTCCCGGCTGGGCTGATCCACCGTGCAGGGTCCGCCTGGGCTCTGCCCTGGTCAGATGCAGTCTGCACAGACTAGAGTCTGAAGGGAAGGCACTGACTTCAGAGGGAGTGCAGATGAGTCACAGACGGGACACTAGCATTGTTGCCAGGGGCGGAGTTATGGGGCAGGGTGGGTGTGCTCTCTGCGGTGACAATGCTCTTGGCCGCCGAGATTTCCCGTGAGCCTCTCCCAGAGGGCACGCAGTGAGCTGGGGTACAGTGCTATCAGCACTGTATACAGCACACAGAGGGCAAAGCCTGCCCTCAAGGGCCTTACAGGCGAGCAGCCTGAGGGCCCATACCACGTGCAGAAAGTGTGATTTGGTTTACTTTAATACAACATTATTGTAACAATTCCAGCTGAATCGTTATTATCAAATCATCCTGTGTACAAGGATCACTTCCAGGCTCTTCATGTGGCCCAGAATTAGGACATATTTTTCTCCCTCAGATAGTAAGCTGCAAGTTCTGGCTATTTTCCCTTCCCCCTCCTCTCTCCTGCCACCCCCACCCTGCACCAGCCCCAGCTACGTCATATCTCATAGCTGTAACATATTTAAATACTTTGCTAGGAGGGCTCATGTGACTTTGGAGCTGGGTGCCGGTAAATTGTCCAGCACCCACATTTTTGAGCCAGTCATAAATCTCCAACGTGGTGGGGTCCGGGTGCAGAACGAGCTTGTCCCAGGTGGCTGTCGCAGGAGATAGCTCTCTCCTTTCTTTGGGCCAGACCCACGATGGAACGTGTTACCTCGGGAACCGGGAGACCTCGGTGACGTGTTGTTCCTCAGCATCTGAGTTTATCGCGAAGAGTCTAGTGCCTCATTCTGCGGTGAATTTGATTTTGGAAATCCCGGGGGCAGGCCTGTACTTTGCCTTTTGACTCCGCCTACAGGGAGAGCCTTGTTAAGGGTTCTGATTTGTGGAGAAAGGCAGTTTTCTGAAAAGTACACTGTTTTAAAAACGTTTTAATTGAGTCCAATCAGGTTTCCACAGGGATGAAGTCACTATTAGAACAAGATTTTAGCTCTTAAAAGAAACCGCATAGGAGTCATCTTTACAGGCCTGGGATTGTGGCTCACCTTCATTTAACTGCATGCAGTGGTTCAAGTCTGATCCCCCTCAAAATCGCTGGGTGTTGAGGGTGAGGGTGGGAAGAGGTGGGTGGTTTTCCATGTCCCCTGTGCTCTGCACATGAATGGTCTAGTGTCCACGCTGGGCCCTGAGCACGTGTCCTCCCGTGTTGAATCCTAGCAGGTTGACGTCCCTGGATTCAGGTGCCCATACTCGTCTGTGCTTTGTCCCTCCCTGGCCTCCTACACCCTCCATTTCAGCAGAGTGCATGACTGCCTAGGGCTCCAAGTAACAAGAGCTGAAAGGGTGAGGAAAGGCCTGGGGACCTTGGATTCCCTGAGGAAGATCCCCTTGGGTCCTTCTGGTCTGAGCAGCAGTGTTGCCCACGCACAGCCACAGGCTCCCCTGCTCCGGACCCAGCTCTCGGTGCTTTTCTCTCTGTGCAGGCCAGTCCCTGCCTCCCCGGGTCAGCACCACCACCGGCCCAGGTGTCAGGCCACCCCACAGCGAGCAGGAAGCACAGGAGCTTGTACTCCAGCTTTAGTTTTCCCCAAACCCAATGCTTGGAATTTATAAGTTGTGAAAGGCACTCTAAGGAGCTCCCACGACAGATGGATGGAAGTGTATTTATCATCACATGTCTCTCACAGTTGAGCCAGGTGACCCTCACAGCCTTGGTCCCCAGCGCTTGCAGATTGAATGGACCAGGTTATGAAGTCCTTGCTGAATGTCTCTCTCATCACAGTGGCACCTCCACTGACATAGTTAGGCTGCACCAGGAAAAAAGTACAATATAAACTAATACCACCCTAGCACAATGATTTAAAGATTACAGGAAGATGAAAATCTAGAGAGGGGATATTTTTATTTGAGTATCCTTGACGTTGGATTTTCTGAGTTATATACTGGGAACATGTTTTTTAATTTGAATAAAGTTCTGTTTTGTTTGTGTTTGCTTTTGAGAAAGGAATACTATGTATTAGGCATAAGTAGTGTTCCTGTCTCTGTCCGTGAATGTGTGACACCCCCAAATTAGCCCTGTCGTGCCCCTAGGTGGAGTGCTGCACCCGGACAGGCCACCCAGATCCGGCTCGGGTGTTGGCTCTTGCTGGTTCAAGTGCCCCACCTTTTTCATCTCCAGTAGGCTTCAGCCAAAGCTCTGAAGAGTCAGTCCCCCCAGAGAAATGCATTTCACTCTGGCCCTAACACGTCCCGTTTGCTCATCTCCACAGCTTTCCATGAAGTCTCAGTTTACCCCAAAAAGGAGCTTCCCTTCTTTATTCTCTTCACTGCTGGACTGTGCTCCTTCACAGCCATGCTGGCCCTCCTGACACATCAGTTCCCGGAACTTATGGGGGTCTTCGCAAAAGCTGTGAGTATTTGCCAAGAGGGAGGCCTCACGGAAGGGGCAGGGAAAGGCCAGGGAGGCAGAGTGAGAGAAACGGAGGAGTGTCTTGAAGACGTGGATGTGCTTGTGTTGATCTTTTGCTCACTGTTTAATTTTCATTATCATCAGTGGAATCATGGATTGAGGGTCAAAACGAGAAAGTATAGGTGGTTTGTTAATGCATGGCTTGCCTCCTTTCACACTCAAAAACTTCTCAGCAGTTCCCCCAAAATGCATGTGGTCTAAAAGGATTAAATAAATAATGAAGGGTATCCTAGCAAATGAGAAATACGTGGGAGATTCTTCAGTTTTGTGTAAATTGGATGACATTGTTTCTGATCTGTAGATATTGTAGGTCTTTCCTTCAAGGGGGATGGAATTTACATTTTCAAAGATTATTTAAATTTTGAAAGTTTTAATGTCTACAAATTAAGTGGCTTGTTTGAGGAATGAACTGAGAGAGTGTAAAGGGTATAGTATTAAGGACTATACAGGTATGATATTTAGAAATATGGAAATCCATTAAGAGTCTTTAAAGAGGGCTATGGAGGGGAGCTTTAATAAGAAAAGCCAACTGCATTGACAGCCCAGAACCATTGTTTCCTTGTTGAAAACTGACCATGTCAACCTGTACATGCAATGGGAATAAGTTTACTGATTTTGCCACAGATGAATTTCAAACAGAAGGAATAAGGAAAAGAGTATCAGTTGATTCCCTGGAACTCCATTCTGAAATCAAGGCGAGGAGTCAGAAAGGATGATTTCTAACTTGGCTGGGTTGATTTAATCCCTTTCCAGATGATTGACATTTTCTGCTCGGCAGAGTTCAGGGACTGGAATTGCAAGAGTATTTTCATGCGTGTTGAAGATGAACTGGAAATCCCACCGGCACCTCAATCTCAACATTTCCAAAACTGAACTCATCACCCTTCTTCCCCCACCACCAAAACTGCTCCTCCTCCTGTATTCCTGACCTCCACCAGTGGCACTGACATCCACCCAGTTACTCGAGCCAGAAACTCGGCAGCCTTCCCAGACTCTTCCCTCTCTCACTCCTTACATCCATCTGTTTCGGCTTCCACAGCCCGTTGGATCTAACCTTCTGAGCCACTGGGCTTTCAGCAAATGTAATTCACCCCTTCTTCCCTTCCTTCTCACCCCACAGCTCTCTCTTAGTTTAGATCTTTGGGGTTTCTTGCCTGGACACCTGTAGGAGTCTTAACCAGTCTCCTTGCTTCCAGTCTTATCCTCTACCAGTACTTCTTTCATTCTGACATAAGAATGATCTTTCTAAATTGCATGTCTGAGCATGTCACTTCCCCGCTTGAATTTCTCCAGTGGTTTCCCACCAACTTCAGGATAAAGTCCTAGATCTTCAGCATGGCATACAAGGCCCTTTATGGTCTGGCCCTTGCTTGCCTCTTCAGCCTCATCTCTCTCCCGGCTCTGCTCTTGGGCCACATTGAATTACTCGCTGTTCCCAGATTCACCAGGTTCTTATACGCCTCAGTGCCTTTGCGTGTGCTGTTTGCTATGCATGGGATGCCCTTCCCCATTACCACCAGCACTTGTCCAGTCTACTAACACCTCTTCATTCTTCTATACTCATCTTTCTTTCTAGGTTTCTCCTAAGCTGAGTTAGGTGTCTCTCCCCTCTGATCCACAGTATTCTATGAATACCTATATCATCACATTTATTGTACTATTTTATAATTGTTAAAAACTTGCCTGACCCCCTGTTAGAATGTGAGCTCCTCGCGAGCAGGACTGTGTCTTTCTCATCTCTGTATCCCCAAGGCTTTGCACAGTGCCTTGCATATAGTAGGTTTTCAATAAATGATTATTAAATAAATAAATGGTAGTGGTTTCTGCAGAAAGAATCAATGTAAAAATCAGATGCAGCTTAGCATTTCTTCTCTTTTATATACAATCATAGATGCAGAGTTGAAAGGAACCTTAAATTACGTTCGACAGTCATTTGATGGAGGTCATCTTGACTCATCTTGAACGCTTTTATTGATGGGGCACTCGCCTGTTCAACGTGGAAGCCCATTTCATCACTTAGAACTCTTCTTTATACTGATGAAATCTGCCTTCCTTTCATTTCCACGTGCATATCTAGTCTATTCTTCGAAACTATAGTAAACAACTCTACTTCCTCCTGCAAATTCTTGAGACAGCTAATACATTTGTGGCCACCTCTAACCTCTAACCTCTAACTTACTACCTCCTCTTTTCTCCAGGCAGAATATCTTAAGTTTCCTTAAGTCTTCTGCACATGATATGATTTCTGAACCCAGCATTGTGCAAGCTGCCTCTTTGGATGGCCCCTAGTTTATGGGCCTGTGGTATTCATTACATGCATCTATTCCCACGCCTATCTCTGAGTAAAAGTAGTTGCCAAAAGTCTGAGTAGATTAGAGTGTAACTTTGTAAAATTTAAAATAAGAATATGTTTACAACATTAAACAATTACATTTCCTCCTTTTATATTCCTCTCTTAAACATTTTTTAAAGCATATTTGTAAAGTATGTCATTGGCCCAGTATTCTTCACTAAACAGGGAGTTTGGAATCAGGACAGTGATTCTCAGCCTCTGGCATGCACCAAATTCAGTTGGCTCCACCACCAGAACTTCAGACCCTTGAATATTAGCACCTAGGAATTTGTGTTTTTAATAAGGACCCCCTCTCCCCCCACCACACACAGATTCTAAGGATGGGGCTTGAGGACCACATTTCCTTCAGAGAACACTGGTCTCAAGAAGCCATTTGCAGGTACATAGTGCAGTGTCAGAGCTGTTGAGGTGACACCTTTCTGGGAACCAATGATTTCACCCTGGCTGCCCCTCGAAATCATCTAGGGAGCTTAAAAGTTACTGATGCCTCCACCTCCCAACCCAGGGGACTCTGACTTAATTGGTCTGGGGTATAGCCTGGGCACCTGAATTTTGAGATGCTCCCCAGGTGATTCAGGTGTACAGCCAGGGCTGAGAGCCACCATAATGAATGAAGTGACTGATGGCCTGAAACTGTGTTAACCAGGGAGGGGACTGGGAGGAGGGGCAGATAGTACACAGAACACGATTGCATGTTCTCTAGGTGAGGCTACGTGGCCTCCGGAATAGCACAGAGATGTGTTCATTACGGATGTTAGACCCAGGGCCGCTCTCCTCATTTAATGTTCCCAAAGCGTTGGTTTTGAGTCAAGGACCAAATGATTAAATAAAATACAAATTTGTCTTTATGGTCCTCGTATTTTATACTCTACCAAGGTGTGGTAGTTTGATCAGCTGCTCATAATTTTCAAATGTAGTTTAGATAAATTTGCTTTTAAACCTCTGTCTGGAGGGTCACATTCATCTCGCCCTTCATTAAGGTTTAGCAGTTTCCACAGTGTCTGGAGAGATTTTGTGGGGAAGGAAGATGGATGGCCTGAAGGAGACAAGTCCCATCTCCCTCCTCCTCCCCCCACGGCCCCCAGAGTCTTCTCCACATTTTGCCTCTTGTCACTTCATCAGGCCCCTGGTGAAGACCCCCGACAGGTTATCACGGCCGCCCTATAGGCTGTCTGCAACCATTTGCAGCTTGTGAAAATGATTTTCTCAGCCCTTGCCCGAGATAATGTCCCTGGGATAATGACTCTTAGTAGATGGAGAGAGATTGCTCTGCCACCCCCCAGGCTGCAGGCAGCTTGGGAACTCTCCAGTGTGTTTACAAGTTGATAGGCAGCCAGTAAGGAAGCCCACAGCCAAGTGTGAGCCACTGGAAAATAGTAAAATGAGAGGCTTCAACTGGCTGTCCCCGCCTAATCTAATCTACCTCAATGACTTAGGACTAGCTCTTCCTAGATGTTTGGTTACTAAGATAAGGTTGCTCATATAAATAAGTGATCTTTCCAAACCCAGCCCTTCACAGAATGTGGGAAGGTCAGCATTCTGACCCCTTCTGTTTGAAGGGCCCTGTCTTGACTCCTCTGGTCTCTCTCCTTCCCTGAGACCCAGCCCCCTGACTTCTGACTCTCGTCTTCACTTATAGGCCCTGACCTCTTTGAAGTCTGATATTGATTACAGTGAAATGTCAATTGTCTGATTGCAATAGGGCACCTGGAACTTATTCAGATAAGCAGAGGCGTTTCAAATGTTAACGAAGCATGTTGGGAGCCATGACCTTCTTCTAAATAATGGTGTTTTGGGAAAAGGAGGATCAGGCGATTGAAGTGTCACTCTCTCTTTTTTATTAGTTCAGTTGCTTTTTCTCACCACAAGACACTGATTGAATTATGGTGCGTTTTGGACTGTGTATCTCTGCCCTCGGGACAGGAGTTTTGGACATTGAGATAGATGAGCTGTTCCAGGGTTGCCTGGTGTTGCTCATTCAGACTTAACTTTTCAGGCAATAAAATTTCCCAGGTCCGCAAATGAAATTGCTGTTTCTCTCTGTGCTTTGGTTGAGTCTCTGGCTGAAAAGTGTTGATGGATTTTCAAATATGCAAAGAAATATAAATGAGCATCCTAAGTAAGCAAAGCATGTTCCACTAAGCTTTTTTTTAATACCTCCTGATGAAAACTACTGACCTTTGATTACTAAATGAAAGTGGCTTAGCGGTTTCAGGCCCCTCACAGCATTCTTGCTTCTTGTGTGTGAGGGCTGGAGAGGAAGACGCAGGAAAGGGTGCTAAGGAGGAAGGCAGCCTAGTGACAAAGCGTGCACGCCTCAGCTGAGGGGGCTGCGAGAGAATTAGTATCTCTAGGAAAAGGTTCGAGGGATTCTTTTCTCAGTTCTCCCAAGGATAGAACATTCCAGATGTGAGGGAGAACAGTGAACGATCACAGACATTGAAGATATTGGGACTTAAGTCTCTCATGGAACCTGGTTGAGAAGTGCAGGTGTGGTCCCGGGAGGCAGGGCCCGCTGTATCTTGCTGTGTAGTGTGGAAAGAGGAGCGATTACAGACTTCAAATTGGGTGAGGCTCGCCGCTTAAT